CATTACGAATACCTTCTTTAAACGTCGAAGAGTGCATCAGTACACCTGGTACCGGGAAGCTTGTGCACAGAAATCCACGATCGATTTAACAATCGTATCGTTTGACTTAAGACGGTCAGTAATGGACGTTCACGTTAAGAGAGCAAACAACCGATCAACACTATGCTGTTTGCAAGATTCAGTGTAAAAAATGGAGTATCATACGAAGATCTGGTGGAAAAAGCAACCAGAGTATTACATGGGAAATACTATCTTACATGAGCACGAGAACGAAATTTGCAAACAACATCGTACGATGGGTTAAACAGATCCAAATAATGACCACCGATACTGAGCGGCAGCTCTTTAACGGCGGCATACTCGACGCTGCCGCCGAAGGTACGGATTTAAACGGGTTGGCCTGCACCTCGAAGTCAGAGAAGATCTTGGTGAACACGAGATGTACAGCTGGCAGTTACAGAGAAGGTAGCATTCAAGAAATGGCTTGGAAACAAAGAGCCCTCCACTCGCGTGCGATATGATGAGGCACGCAAGGAGGTACCGAAAGCAGTGGCGAAAGTCAAAGCAGTTCCCTGGGAGAAATTCGGTGAGGTGTTGGAGTCGAATTTCCACAAGGCAAATAAGGTATTCCGAAAGATCATTCGCCTTATGAGGCGAATAGAAAAGCAGTTTCACAGTCTTGAACGATAGGTCGGGAGACCCTCTTAACAAGGATGTGGGTATTCTTCCGCTGTGGAGTACTTTGAGGAACCTTTAACCCCGAGCAACCGCATGAAGACTCACCTGTAAAGCATCAGGAAACGGATGTTAGTATCTGTGTAGATGAAATTACACAAGCTATGAAAAGTTGGCTGAAAGTTTGAAGTTGAAAGTTTGAAAAATGGAAAGGCTGTTGGGATAAACGAAATCCGCCCTGAAATGCTGAAGGCAATAGGCGAACAAGGCATATGCTGGCTTACACGTGTATGTCAAACTGCGATGACTACGGGGAAGACACCAGCGGACTGGAGAAAGGGAGTTGTGGTACCCCTATTCAAGAAGGGAGACCACAGGGAGTACTCCAATTACAGGGGCATTACGTCATTGAGCCTCCCAGGTAGTCCACTGAAAGGTGCTACAAACGAGGTGCCGCGGATAAAATGACTCCAAAATACAAGAGCATTGTGGCTTCCGGCCCGGTCGAAGCACCTGTGACCATATATTTGCCCTGCGGTAGGTTGCCAAGAAATTGTTGGAGTACAATCCTCCGGTGTACATGTGTTATGTTGATCTAGAAGAAGCCTATGACCGGATCCCGCGCAACAGTTTGTGGTCATGCCTGCGAGCATATGTGAGAGATGATGATGCTAAGGGCCATCAAATCACTGTATTCCGTTAGTAGGTGCTGCGTCAGAGTAAACTGCGTTAAGTCGAAGTCTTTTCAGCGTCGACATTGGTTTCCGCCAAAGCTGCATCCTGTCTGCTCTCCTGCTCGTGTTCTACATGGATAGAATAGTCAGGAGCAACCAAGGCGATAAGTGCATCGGTGTAGGAGATCTGCAGACGAGAAGGTTGCTGTTTGCAGACGACCTTGTTTTATTAGCATCTTCTGAAACCGATCTAGAGTGCTCCCTGGGAAGGTTCGTAGTCGAATACGTCGTGACCGGCATGCGTGTCAACGCATCTAAAACGACATAAAGCCTAGTGTTTTCTCGTTCTCCTGTCCGTTGCTCCCTTCAGACTAACCGAGAGGCACTGGAGCAAATCGAGAAGTTCAAGCTCCTTGGAGTCGTATTTACCAGTGATGGAAAGTTTGAAGAAGAGATCGACCAGCGAATTGGAGTAGCCAGTAGCGTTCTGCGTGAACTAGCCCGATCCATTATGACTAAAGCAGAGCTCAGTCTGAAAACTAAGCTCTCGATATTCAAGTCGATCTTTATCCCCTACTTACTCACGGTCATGGATTGTGGACAATCACTAAAAACTTCGAACCCGGGTACAAGCTGCTGAAATGGGCTTTCTTAGACAAGTCGCTGGCCTTACGCGTCT